GAACTTAGCTTGAGATTGGGAAAATGGACTTTGCATTGTGACAGTAAGACCACTATTCATTTAGCAAAGAATTCTTTGTTTCATTCAAGAATGAAATATATGTAGGTGATATACCATTTTATCAAATCAGCTTTGTAAAATGGAGTATTGGCACTTTAAAAGAGTCCAAGTTCAGAATCGAACTGATATGTGTTTACCAAAGTCATCCGTGTTGATAATTGGAAGTTGTGCACAAATTCAATTGGACTTCTCCACGAGTAGAAATAATTAACGTTACATAGGAGCGAGACATGTTGTTAGTGGGAGATTGTTGAGAATATGGAGCTAAACCAAGAAGGAAATTCTTTTTATTCCTTTTCGTATAGGGAATAAACTTTTTCGAATTTCATTTTCCTTGTTAAGTTTCAATTTGGTTTTTCGACCAATTATTTGATAGTTGTAAACATATAGAGAGTCATGAAAAATTCTTCAGGGAGAGAGAGTTCGAGAGCTTAATACTTGTGCATCCCTTAGAAAGTTTGAAAGACTTGTAAAGTGATTCGTGAGTGTTTTATGTGTGAGAGAAAACTGAGAGAAATCATTGTAAATGGTTTGTAAACTCTTGGAAAATTCTCTCTAGCATTTTAGTAGAACATGCAGCGATAGCAAAGAATTGGGCGTAGCTAACATTCGGTGAACCAATATAAATCCGACGTTTAATTTTATTCTCATAATCTTTATTTACCATTCTTGTTGCTTAGAAGTTTTAAATTAGTAATTTATCTATTCTTTTAAGTTATAAGTTGCAATTTATTTGAATTCAGCTTTATTTGAAACCATAACGTGATCTATGGTTAGCTAATAAATATTTGTCTATTGAGATAATTGTTAGTTGACTGTTTTATTTCTCCAAACATACCACACGATTTAATCCCAGATTGTACGACGCCTACGATTTAGGTGAACTTACGCTGAACATACACGATTTAGCCTAAATCACATCCAATCCACGTTATTTAACTACCCTACCTTTGTAATGAATTTCAAAACTATCCTAATCATTTATTTTTTAAAGACATTATATTTTAGGGAAAAAAAAATCTTATACCCTCTCTTTTAAATTTGTTGATAATTTTAATGAAACTGCTGGTAAATATTGGTACATAAGCTACATCAATGTCGGATGGTCTTTTTTTCGTTGGTTGATGCAAATTACAATGCATCAATATTAAATATTAAAAGCTAATATTTTGTAGAGTTTTAAGGCTACAAATACGAATAAGTCCCTAAATTTAGGTATCTAAAAAAATCCCTGATTTTTATGACCATTTTCACTTTTTTTCTTATTCTTTTAAAATATTATCTATAATTTTAATTTTGTTGAGAAAGTTATTAATATCTTATCTAATTGAAATATGTTCAAATTAGCTACTAAAACATCTTAAGGGAGGTATGGTATGCATGATATTGAGAAAAGTGATTTAATTATTTGAAGAACAATATTTAAGTGTTGATTCATCCTTTTGTTGGTAAGAGAGAAAGGTAGAAGGAGATAAAAATGAAAGCTATCAAGTTTTTAGTGCAATCAACRATAAGATAGGTGCGGACTATTTTTCTTATTAAAAGTAATACTCGTTCAATGAACAAAAAAGAAAAGGAAAAAACTCGATTGGTGATGAATAACTCGACCTCGACCCATGTAAAAGTTTTCATACAAGGATGAATAAGTAACTCGAAATACTTGACTTAATTTTTTTAATTTTTTCTTTTTTTGGATTCTTAGTTGGATAAAAAGAAAAATATATTTTTGGACGCTGAGGTTTGGACTAGGTGTCTATTTAGTCCCTGAATTTTTTAAATGCACATTTTTTGCCTTTGAGGTTTGAAGTATGCGTCTATTTAGTACCTAGAATTTCAAAATGCACTCTTTTCATCATTGAAATTTGCAAAATGATTATAAATGGTTATTTGACCATTCGTGGTTGTCTCTCTCTCCATCTTCTCTTCTTTCTCTCCTTCCTTTCTCTCCCATCTCTAGCCATTATCGCTGCCATTGCCAGCGATAACGTTGGTTGGAGATCGGTGAGAAATAGAAATGGGAGAGGAAGATAGAAAACTACAAACAAACAACCAACTAACGGTCAAATGACCATTTAAAACAATTTCTCAAATCTTAGGGATCAAAAGTGTTTGTTTTGAAATTTTAATGACAAAATGGACACCTACGTCAAACCTCAGGGATTAAAAATGTATTTTTCCTCGTATAAAATAATTAAGGAATAGACAACGACGGAGTGAATGAGAAATCAAAGGCAAAAGAGAGAAGTTTTCTAATACTAAGAGAGTATTATTGTGCATTCTCTTCACTATCTGCTACATCAGCATCATATTTAAAATGATATATATAGGTCCACCAACAAAAGAGCATGCACTCTCTGAAAAATTTTAGTAATACAAGAATATCACACCCCCTTTTTTTCATTATGTGATTTTACTTTTATAAATAATTTTTAATGTTGGTGGGCCTACATTATTTTAATACAACGTTGATGTGGCAAACAATGAATAAAGTGAATATTTATATTCCCACAATACCAAAACATTTCCCCTCTTATGCTATTACTAGACTACTAACACTGCAACCAATCTAATCATAGCTCTACTCATTCCTTAAGGAATATATCTCCGACCAAAATAGAATGCACTAAAAAAGATAAAAATAATAATAATGCAAAATAGAGAGTGAGTGAGTTGGTGAGGAAGATTGAGAGAATAAATGAGGGAGATTTAGGAGTGGAAGAGGAAGAAAGATGAATTTAATCCCTGCCCCCTCAATTAAACCCTATATTGTCCAAAGACAAAGCATCTCATTTTTCATTCCATTTTAATTCCACATCATCATAACTTTACTTCTTTTTTAAAAAGATGATTTAACCTAAATAAATTTAAAAAAAAGGGTTCTCTCATTTTTTCAATATTATTCCATTTTTAATTTTACATTATCACAACTTTAATTTTTCTTACAAAATGGTTTAACCAAAATAAATTGATTTATGAAATAAATAAGTATTTCCAAATACAGCAAAAAGTTTAAAATTTTCAAAAAAAAAAAAGACTATCCAAATTAAAGTAACTCACAAATATGATATATTAAGAAAAGTCAAATTTATGTTATAGTTTTTTTAAAAGGATGAAAAAAATTTAATATTTTAAAAAATATATATTAATTTCATACCATATGGAGTCAAATTTTGCTTCATATATTTGAAATAAATCTGAAAGCGTTCAATCAATTTTAGTATCTGTATTTTTAACTTCAAGACTAATGGAGTTTCTCGAGGTGAATCATTTTTACACTGCTATTTTTTTTTATTTCTCTTCCTCTATTCTTCTTTTTTGTACTTGTTATTTTAATTTGAGATAAAACTTATTCTATGCTATTTTTCTTTGTTCTTTTGGTTATTTTCGAACAAAGTTTATATATATATATATATATATATATATATATATATATATATATGAGAAAACCACTTAATAAGAACTGCAACTACATCGCTTAACATATGAAAATGCTCAAGACAAATGGTTGTGAAATTCTGTTCAACTACTTGAGAATGAAAACATTCACTAAACACCAAAAATTACTCACTTGAAAACAGTAAAATGCTTCTATCCTAACTAACAAAATATAATAAAAATAAAAATCCCTTTAGTGAGTCATTTGATACATATTCTATTTTATTTATGACATATAGTATTAATTATTAATTCTTCAATTTGGTTACTGTACTCATTAATCATAATTAAAAGATCCTAAATAAAATTGTTAAATTTTTTATTTTATTTTAAGATTTATTTCTAAATCAAAAAAATAAATAAAAATATATTACTTATAATAATTATACTAATAAATGAAAATTAATTTTTTCAAATTATTTTAAGTTATTTGCTTTAATAAAAAGTGATTTTCTAACAATAATTAATTATTTAAAATTAGTTAATATAAATTAATTGTTGGAAGTAGATTCTCATGTCATTTCCATGTCTAACAAGTACAGGTATCTTTGATTCCCACACATCTTATTCTCAGATTTCTTATTTCCACACAACTTATTCTCAGATAATCTTTCTAAAACCTTGAACCAAACGGCGCCTAAGAGTTTTAGTATTATCCCTATCTACGGATACTGTTAAGATTGAATAAAAGAATAGAAATGATAATGAATATGAAGCTAAGATTAAAAATGAAGTGTAAGGATTATTTTATTGATTTGTATAAATTTAAAAATAAATTAAACCTTATTTTGAAAAATGTTAAATTATTCACTTAGTCTTATTAGCTTACCACATGGTTCGCTATTATTCCTCCCATTGATGGGGAAATGTGCTGGATACATTTTTAAATGGGTTTTTCTTTTGTTTTTTTTTCTCTATACATTACTGTTTTTTTTTTAATTTTACTTTAAATAAGAAAGGATTCCAACCAAATTTTTTAGTAAAAAAATATATGAAAATGAGCTCTGTTTAAATTGATAATTAGACTGTCAAATCGAACATAATTCAAGTAGTTAAAGCACCTATCTTTTACCAAAAAATCATGAATTCGAAATCCCACCCTCACATGAACTAATTCGTTTTTAGTTTTCAAATCAAAATAATATGACGAGAAAGAGATTAAACTCCGTAATAACTGTTTACCTAATATTAATTTCTTATATGTCTCGTCGCAACCAAATTTAACAAAGTCAAAAGCAGCGGTCCATAATTATTATTACAAAAAAACTAATGGACTAAATTAATAGTTAATCCCTGCATATTACCGTAGAAAAAAAAATATGGGGTGAATGGAGAAAGGTGACAGAGGTGACAATTTGGTGAAGTTGAAAGTGGGTCCCACGTTACCCAAAACAATCCATGCAAAATTACTATTAAAAATAAAAAATAAAAAAAAAATCTTTGAGAGTGCGCGCGGGGTCCACAGAAAGTCTAAAGTTTAAACAGCTCAAGAAGGGAACGCAAAATCCTCTCTCTCTCCTCTCTGTATTTGTTTGGGTTTCTCTCTGTCCTTCAACTTCCCGAACCTCCATTAACAGCCATTAGCCATACCCTTTTTTCTCTCTACGTTTCCTCCGGATCTCCCATTTTCTCTCTCCTTGTTCCTCCTCCTCCTCTTCTTCTTCTTCCTCCTCCTCTTCTTCTTCTTCTTCTTCTTCTTTTTCTACTTTCAATCTCATATGATACCCAAAATCATTGCCCCCGCTCTGTTCTTTTCTTCTCCCTCTGTCCCTTAATCCTCCTCCATTTCTCGGCGTCGAGAGCTCCACGCCCCCACCATCCCTCTTCTCCCAGCTCTCGATCCGAATCCACAATCCCTAATCCCTAATTCCGGGATTTTCTTGACCTAATTCGACCACTGATTTGATTTTTGATTTTTGATTTTGTTGGGGGGCAAAAATGGAGAACATAGCGGCGCAATTGAAGAGGGGAATATCGCGGCAGTTCTCGACGGGGTCGCTACGGCGGACGCTGAGCAGGCAGTTCACGAGGCAGTCGTCGCTTGACCCGAGGAGGAACAATCTCCGCTTCAGCTTCGGGAGGCAGTCGTCGCTTGACCCCATCCGCCGATGTCCCGACGACGACAACGAGCTCTCGGTGCCGGAGAATCTGGACTCCACCATGCAGCTGCTGTTCATGGCCTGCCGAGGTGACGTCAGGGGAGTCGAGGACTTGCTCAACGACGGCACCGACGTTAACAGCATCGATTTGGATGGCCGCACTGCCCTCCATATCGCCGCCTGCGAAGGCCACGCCGACGTCGTCAAGCTCTTGCTCAGCCGTAAGGCCAATCTCGACGCCAGAGATCGCTGGGGGAGTACGGTATTCCATTCCTCTCTCTTTTCTCTCTTTCTTTCAATCCCATTTTTCCTCCTCAACTTTGTTTCTATTTTGGTTTCGGAGTTTATTCCCTCCATGCTATAAATTTAATTAATGTGTACTTTAATTTGTCTCATAATTGTTTGTTAATGTATAATTAACATAAGTCATGTTAGGAAAATTTCAAACTTCCTCCTATATTTGAAAATTACACACACACACACACACACACACACACACATATATATATATATATATATTTTATTTATGTAAATGCCTCAAGTTTAAATAAATAACAACTTTCGTCCTTATAACATTAATTTTGCTTTTGACAAAAGTGGTATTATGTAAATGCTTGACTTGTGCCACATAAGTTGGTTGTGGCAGCTAAAAGTAACAGTCAATGTCTATTTTTTAGAACATTTTGGAAATACATAAACTAAAATTTTTGTTGTGTGTTCATATTCTTCTATCTGCAAACAATGGGTGAATGTTAATGCTTTTTGCTCTTGTAGCACAACTATTTGCAGCAATGTCTCTGCAGTAAATAAGAACTTGCAGAGACTATTAATACCCACAAAAGATATTTTCCACTTTTAGTAATTCTTCCATTCCATTCCATTACATCTTATAGATGGTTCTGTTCTATACTGCATTCGATTTAAGAATGTTTCTAACTGTGGAAAACATCACATTCTATCAATGTAATTCAAGACATATGGTAAGTAAGCCCTTTTCTCATTATGTGCAGGCAGCAGCAGATGCAAAATATTATGGAAATACCGAAATTTACAACATTCTGAAGGCGCGTGGAGCGAAAGTTCCGGTACAAAACAAGCAAAACTCTTTCCTTAAATGTAATTGAGAACCAATGCTACAAAGAAACTTTTTAACTTCAGCTTCTTCTCTGGATTAGAAATTTAGGAAGACACCAATGACAGTAGCTAATCCTAGGGAAGTTCCAGAGTATGAGCTTAATCCATTGGAGCTTCAGATTCGAAGGAGTGATGGTATCTCGAAGGCATGGATGTTCTTTCTGTTATCTCCAAATTCAGGCAAATTTTTTCCCTACAATAAGTTGGTGATTCATATTTCTTTGCAGGGGGCATATCAAGTTGCCAAATGGAATGGTACAAAAGTTGCAGTCAAGATTCTTGATAAAGATTGCTACTGCAACCCGGATTCTATGTATGTATTCACTTGAATTCTATTGCCTTTGATTCACTATTAATTATTTGTATGATTCTACTTCTAGATTCTAAACTTACCAAGCCTACTACTTTTTGCATCTAATTTTATATTCAAGGCCCTGCTCTTTTTCATCCCCCTCCCCCAACCTACTGCCAATCAATGTATTGATTATTGGCTAAATATAAGTCTTAGTCCCTGATGGTTCAAGTACTTTTTCAATTTAATATCTATTTTTTAAAAAGTTTTAATTCAGTTTTTTAACATTTTCTATTCTAGCCCTTTTTATTAGTGAATGTTAAAACTTAAAATTAGTCGATGATAAACTTATCTTGTAAGATGGTAAACTTATCTTGTAAGATGGCAAAGATACTCATGTTAGTAGAAATTTAGAGGAAGATATAGGCCACCTAAGAGATGAAAGATTCTAATTCCTCTAAATTTTTACCAAAGGCAAGGGTATAATAGAACGATGTTATGACATAAGGGACTAGATTGAAATTTTTTAACAATAAGGATGAAAAAGCACCCAAACATTAGGGCTAAATGGATTTCAGATGGTGAGTGGCAAATTTCCTGCCTCTTCCCAACAATTCCCTGCTTCAATGGCTACATAGTTGGAACCAAATGAATCTCTTTCACCGACATGTTTGAAACTATTTCTTAAAATTTTTTACGTCTCGTTTATATTGTGAATTTTATTGGAGTTTCTTGTAACTCATACAGAAACGCATTCAAACATGAGTTGACATTATTGGAAAAGGTCCGACATCCTAATGTAGTTCAGTTTGTTGGAGCCGTTACCCAGAATTTGCCCATGATGATTGTTTCAGAATACCATCCAAAGGTATGGATGAATAATCGTCTCACTCTTTATTTTGTTTTCAATAAAAAAGAACTTATTGTTTGTGTAAAATAGCTTGCATTAATCCTCAGGTGTATAATGTGATGACTCAAATTTTGTCTCATATATAAATGATTGAGATCAGCACACACATATATAGATCTTTTTGTTATTCCTATATTGCATGGCATCAGAACAACCGATCCCTTCATATTTTACAATAGTATAATATTGTCCACTTTGGGCATAAGTTGTCGTAGTTTCATCCAAAAAATGCCACACCAATAGATGTGTTGTCATTTACTTATATACCATGATCTTTTCCTTATCTAGTCGATGTGGGCTGCGGTCCCATTCCTAACTAATGACACTTTTAAATGACTCTTTATGTTAAGATTGCCTTTGAGAGAAAACAGAGCGTCTGCGGAAAAAAATGGCACTGTTAGTTCTGTTACAGGCATAGAACAAATTCTATTTGTCGATTTCTTCCTCTAATTTTCAATCTGTAAGTTTAGTTCTTCTCAAGCAATTTATAGCTTGAAGGAGGAAGGATGTACATTTGCTTCCTCATTTTCTAAAAAGATTTCTTATGTTAAGAAACAAAAGGAACCTATGAATGATGATACACATGATTTTAATGTGGCATTTGAGGAGGCTTCTAATAGGTAAATACTCTTAATTTGGGAACTGAATTATGGCTATATGGAACCTCATCATTCTTTTTGGTTGGGCTCAAAAGTTTTTATATAACTTATCTCCAAAAGGATCTTGACGAACAAGTTTCATAACGTCATTGTGATTATGTGTTTTAAAGAAGCCAAAGCTTCTAAAAGAGGGAGGATAGAAGAGAGTTATCGGTTCATTGTTTGGACTGTGCCACAATTGAGTTGCACCATGAATTCTCCATGGATCACTTATCTTGTTCAAGTGGTTTAATTTAGGAATACTTCAACGAGAACTTTCCACCTCGTTTTACATTTAACCATGGATATATTGATGGTTGTCTTCCAGGGTGATTTAGGTTGCTATCTTCAAAAAAAAGGACGTCTCTCTCCGTCTAAAGCTCTAAGATTTGCCCTCGATATTGCTAGGCAAGTTCTGATTTTCTCATATTGTATTTTATTTGAAGAACTTATGAACGCTGTGATACTATCTTATATCATATTTCATGTTGGACTCAGTCTTGGGAACATTCTTTTGCTACTACTCTCCATTTAATCTTTCAACTTTTGCTGACAGTTTATTTTAGCCTCAAATGGCTTGCTTATCAATAAGCACATTCTATACATTTATAAAACATTTCCTTTCTAAGTTTGACTTCTCACGATTTCTGTATACCTTAGCAGAAGTCTTCATCTTCTGTATTATAACATTGTGTAAATTTTTTTATCAGGGGAATGAACTATCTTCATGAATGCAAACCGGATCCAATTATCCACTGTGATTTAAAGCCAAAGTAAGGCAACCATATTCAAAAGTCAGTCTCAGGATGATAGTAGCTTTTAGTTTGAGATTTAGTTTGCACCATAGACGTATTCTTCTTTAATATTGGAAGTTTTTGTAAGGTGCCAGAAATATTTTGCTGGATAATGGAGGACAACTCAAGGTGGCTGGTTTTGGATTGATAAGATTGTCAAAAATTTCACCTGACAAAGCAAAGCTAGCTCAGCCAGTAATGATTGACAATTCAAGTAAGTTGTTGCATTCCATGATAAACTACCTTATTTTATGATATACTTCAGAAGTGATTTGTGCTTTACGAGTGAAAACAATGGTTTTCTCACAATCTTGACTACATATTTCTTTCATGGTTGTGCCTCCTTGTAGACTTGTACTTAGCACCTGAGATTTACAACGATGAAATTTTTGCCAGAAGTGTCGATGCATTTTCGTTCGGTCTCATTCTATACGAGGTATCTACAATTTCGTTTGTTATTTCATCTTTACCTTTTTATATTGTTAAGAGTTCTAAAAGAAAGTCATGGCATGGATAAAAAACTCTGCCATGGGTCTCAAGTCATGACGCTTCGGATTCTTAATGGCATTTCTTAGCTCATGGATAAAAAACTCATGGCAGCTCTGGATTCTCAATGCATTTTGTAGCTAATGGATGGAAAAGTAGAATGTTGTTCACTTGATATTGACTTTTTTTGTTTTGGTTTTTTGCTCTGCATTTGTATTTTGTTTGAATGGGCAGATGGTTGAGGGTATTCAGCCATTCCATCCCAAGCCTCCAGAAGAGGTTTCCAAAGCTATTTGTGTAGAAGGAAAGAGACCTCCCTTTAAGGTCAAATCAAAAAGTTATCCACCTGATCTAAAAGAGTAAGTGTAATTGTCAGATGTTACATAATGTTCTTGTGCAAGTTTCTAGTAAACAACAGAAGCCATTATTTAAAAATCTGGAAACTAATGTCATGAATTTGTAACAAAGCCCTGCACGAACACACCGATCAAACATGTTTTTAGACAATTACAGGCACTTTTCAAAATTTTCATTTTGATGGGCTACCTAATCAAAAGTCATCTAAACAGGATTGTAAAGAGGATTCTGAAATAAGACATGGATTATGAGTTGTGGTTATATTACATGATGGCATAAAAATGCAGGTTAATCGAGGAATGCTGGGATCGGGAACCTGTCGTGAGGCCTACTTTCTCTGAAATTATTGTAAGGTTGGATAAAATAGTTGCCAACTGCTCAAAACAAGGATGGTGGAAAGATACGTTCAAGCTCCCCTGGTATGTTCTTTTCACTATTAAAAAAAAATGACTCCAAACTTTTCTTTCAAGTTCGAGTTTACCATATATATATCTTTTTTCCGAAATCTATATACAATTCTGAGAACCTTTCTTAAAAATGAGAATTATACAATTCTGAGAACCTTTCTTAAAAATGAGAATTAGAGAACAACCAGTAAATGCATGTTTCTCAGAAACAAAGAAACGAAAACGTCATTGGACGAGTCTGTTTTTCATGTTTGGTTGGAGGGGTTAAGATTTGGGATTATGTGCAGGAAATAAGAAGGTATATAGGGAACTCAACCCACTGTCTTCAGAAGGGGGCAAAGTGATTAGGAATGAAGGAGACAAAACTCAGAACATGGGGGAAAGCTTCATTGTTGAGATTAAGAACACCATTAATGATATTCAAAGCTTTTTTCTT